GTAAATGGTGATAGACTAGAAGACCAATTATAGTTTGTTCCTGTAGTGTAACTGATTGTATATGTCTGTGGGACATTAACCGGTGCGGTACTAGATCCGCTGATTTTGCCAACAACTAAAGAAAGCGTTTGAGAGATGATTGTTAATTTTTCTGCTTGTGTTTTGTCTCTTGTTTTTGTCAACTTTGAATTGTATATAGATAGCTTCTTGTGGTGTCCTTTCTTGCTTTTTTTCGGATGTAGATTCTGTGGGAGTGTTTTTTAGGTCTTAGTGCATTAATGTATCATTTGTTTTGAGTTAGCATTTTTTTTACTCGAGAAATTGAGTTGTTTGCATTCGGCGGAACTTTCCGTGGAAAAAATCTGTCGAAATTAGTTTTGTTCTCAATCAGGCTGATTTTGGTCCTTGTTAAAGGTTAATTTGAATATCTTTTTCTGCAGCTCAGAGATTAAAGTAACTTAAATAGATTTTGTCAAAGACTAAAATCAGATTTATTAAGACAGAGACGTTTAAATGGATTTCTCACAGAAAAAGTTAATCAGAATGATTTTAAGTGAAGGTTTTGGAAAATTAATTTAAACAGGTTTTTCTCAAAGATTTTTAAAAAAGTGAATTGAAATAGTTGTTCTTCAAAAAAAAATCTATTTAATGTGTTTTTTCCGGGAAGAAAAAATAATAAATGAAAAGCAACCGCCCATTTCTTCGAAACGTGCCGCAATGAATATCCTAGAAGCCAGATGAATAAATTCATGTAGTCTGAGACAAAAGCAAAGAGCCAGAAAAAGATATCAGAGGTGAAGTTTCAACCAGCACACGGCCGCTTCGAAGGCAAGTGAGTTTTTGAAGCACTATCTCTCCTTATAGGTATCGTTCCCGGGTGTTGCCATGGCAGTTTCAACAGCTTAATGTCTTCCCTGTAGTTGACGAGCTGCTCATTACTAATCATCAACTGCAGTCCTGACAAAACGCCTACCTTAACGCAGAGTTCTTTCCCTCAATTACTTAAGCTACTCATACACAATTAATAGCCAAGTGCTACCTTCCTGAAAAGCCACAAAAGCTAGCTGAAGCAGCTGTGCTGTAGGTCATGATGTAGTAAATGTGCGGTCAGACGGATGATCGAAGGAGCTGAGACGTAAGTAACTTGCTCAAGGTTATTACACGACCTGTCAGCATCGAAGTTCAAGCACAGCACCTTTAAAGTACCCGAGTAGTAACATAATTGTCATACCATGCCGTCTCAGCTCTTGTAGCAGTTCTCGAAATAATCAATGCCTTGATCACGGGAGCACATTCTGATCAAAGAAAACTAAGCGCACTCATAGTCGAAAGAAAATACACCAGAAAACATGCTAATAACCAATTCGTCCATGCTACATCGTATCTTGTGTCCACTTTAAACAGTATATATTTAAGGTCCCAATGCTATATGGCCCTCATCGAAGGGTTATGAAAGGTTTTAGAAATGTTTTCTGAAAATTTCGAAAAGATTTTACTTTCCTATTAAAAAGCAAATCAAAACTACTTTCAGTAATACATGAAAATACAGTAAACATTTCTGATCAAAATGAGATGTCCCCCAGCTCTGAATGATGTTCTGATCAAGAGTTATGAGAGTTTTGCTGGAAGCCCTAAAACTTGCATCACATACTGGCACCACGCGACTTTCAGCTTAACACCATTTCGTAGCTCCAACATTTCTCGGATAACGAAACATCGCAGAGAGCTAGTGAAGGTCTTAAATTGAAGCTGATACATGTGGCTAGAGGCTAATAGAGCCCAGTTTTTGCTATTCGGTCTAGATTTGTGATTAGAAAAGCAGCAAAAAAATATCAAAAATGTGTTTTCATCAATTTAAGACCAGTTCGAGCTCTCCACAACACTGCGTTAGTGAGAAATCTTGGAGCTACGAACAACCCTATTTACGATTAATACGAGAAAAAAGTAGAAAGAAAACATTTCTCGTATTCAAAGCTCCTAAAATTACTTTTCAATTTGTATGAGATCCTATGAGAAAGACCTGGATACGTACCACTAGTGGATGAAGTGAATGACTCTGTTTGTGGCCGGTTACTTGTGGCACTCGATGCGCTTGATATTTTTGAGGGAAATAGTGAAGTGAACGCTCGTTTAGAAGTTTCAGGCTTCGTTGGACGGGAATGTTTTGTTCTTCCCGTTTCTTGGGACAAAGCTGAAACAGTTGTTGGCATAATGCTTGAAATGGGTACAGAGAATAAAGATGCCATCTGGTTAGTTGTTACACTTGGACCATTACTGCCGCTTGACGTTGTTAAACCAAAGAATATGTTAACTGAAAAGGAAAACTACATTAGATACTAACTTCTTGAATATTATATTCCATTCTTAGAAGGTCAGAGTTGACATAAGGACACTGTTTGTAGTGTTTAAAAACGACGGAAAGTCCGGTAAATAAAGGTCCTGGGAAGAGGAAACGATTTTCTCGCAGGCAAGCAGAAGACCAAGGCCAATTATGTAAATTGAAGTCTTCGAACAAGATGCATGTGTTTTAACTGAATATAGGAAGAGTATGCAGTCCGTCGAAGATAAATTAAATGTCGGTCAGAGAATCACGCACGTCGTCTATACTTACATAGGTCCTCTTCAAATCGAATGACAGTAAACGTTTGAGTTGTTACTGTTTGTACTTCACCCCTTTGACAAATCGTTGTAGGGCAGTCAGTAGAAAAAAGCAGTCGAAATTCAACTATGAATTGAGTTGAAGTTTTTGAATCATTAGGTCCTGCTTCGGTAGCATAATAGTAACGATGGAATTCTTGCACTGTCTGCGATGGTGCTTGACGTTTTCCCTAAATATATGGACAGACTCAGTTACGATCCTCTTTCTATATAAGATATACCATGTGCGAGCATTTCTTCGTCTCAGCATGTCGAGAGAAAAGAAAGAGAACCGAAAGATATGAATATGCAAAACTGATATCTTTTTACTTGCTACTGTCCATTTTAAAACAGAATGCAGTCGGGTGTTTGTTGAATAACTCGCCAACGCTGATAGCTATCAGGCTCGGGTTTTTACTATTAGAGTCTTACGTCAAAAAATTCGAAAAAAAAATAGCGGTCCATTCAGGGTTCGAGCCTGAGACCTATAGCATGTTGTGCTGTGCTCTTATCAACTGAACTGTAATGGACTACAACTATAATAAGTTATCTCGCCATTATATTATGATAATACAGTTTTTCGGCTTGTTACTTAAATTATAAAAAACGGGGAGTGATCTCCAATTACATGAAAGTGTCTGCGCTTTATTCAGTACTTTTGGGTAATAGTTCTGCAATGTAATCAATAACTTTTTGATTGTTCTCTGTTATCCGGACTGATTCTAACATCTGTATTGAAATAAATAATCCATCTATGTTTTAAGTAAATAAAACACTGTATAGTACAAAATACCTATCAGAGTCTGATAAGAATCCAATAAGCTTCCTGCAAGAAATTCGTATAAAACAGATAAGAATTGCATCAGAGTTTTTATCACTTTCTTATCACCTTCTTACGAAACTCTTTCGTATAAGTCTTTTATATTTTCCTTGTGGAATCTTGGGACGCTCCTGTGGAATCTTATCAGATTTATTAAAAACTTTTCGTCTAGGGAAGACGATGGTCATCTGTCTGAAAATCAAAATCACTGAAAATTTTTCTAGGAGCTTTCTGAAAAACCATTGACTGCTTCGTTTGATTATATGTACTTTTAATTTCAACTTAACCATATTGCAGCCCAATGTCTATTCTATAAAAATCCTGAAATTTGCTTATTTTTCTGGCCTTTCCTTGCACCCATGGAATTTTCTCGATATTTCAGTTGTGAGGGCCCGTGAACTTCTGCTTGGAATTTCACAAAATTTGGTAGCTAAAGACAGTAAGTTTCACGACTCTGGGGTCATGCACTTGCAACATCAAACGCATGTCCACAAGTGAAGATTGTTCACTTGTGTACACATGTGACATTTAGCACAAACCACTACGCGTTTGATATTGCAACTGCATGACCCCGAAGCTGTGAAAATTTCCACGAAAACTTTTGATTGGGAAATCTTCACATGCGTACATAAGTGAGCCCCTATACGCGTGGACACGTGAGAAAAAATCTCGACCATGGTCAAGGTATAACTTCATCAATGGAGCTTCACCTATAACTTTTCTATGTGTGCCCACTAGTTTCTCAAGTATCGCATTTTATATATAATACTATAAAGTAAGGATCCAACCAACGTACTTTGAATTAGAAATCTACGACAGTACTATTGAGTTAACTTGCCTGAGAAACTACTGAAGAAACCTCATATTCATACTTGTTGGATCAATCCTCACGAGTTATTACGTGTAAACAATTTAGCACACGTGGTTACTCGTGAAACTTCCTAAATCTTTTTTGCTAGCTTCCAAACTGTTTTTACTTAATACTTCCTCTCAGGGAAAAAAGATGATTCCCAGGCATATTCCGAAGAAAATATCTTCGGTGTACAGCAAAGGCCGACATCTAGTCTGCTTATATTAGGTTACTCTGCAGAGTAACCCCATGTAAGCAGACTAGCCATAGAATCAGTCGTAACTGATTGCTCTTGTTATACAATTGCATAACAATCGTCACTTATAGCCAACTGATCTTAAGAACTAACGTAGGACACTGCAAAAGATTACTAGAACATAAGAAGGATTTATCTATAGAATCAGAAAAATAAAAAAGTAACTAAAAATGTAACAGTGAAATTATAATTTTATTTTGTTGCTTGTAGGGTGAAAAACGAAAAACACACATTAGATTCTATAAACGGTAAACAGGCCTTTGACAGCCAATTAACGGGCCGTTTTTCAGTACTTTAAGCTAGAGTGAGTTTAAAATGATTTTTGAATGTTTCATGACGCATAGAGTACTTCGGGGCAATTAGAGACACTCTTTGAAATTTTCGTTGTGTTTTTGTTATTTCTTGGCGGTTTTTGACCGGAAAAACTTGCTATTGAACACGGTGATAGATCGAACATTTTCTACACGCTCGAGTAAAAACTACACGAGTGTCTCTACTTACCCCGAAGTATAAAAAAAGAAAAAAGAGAATTTTTAGTTCTGTTGATTATATGCTAATTAGCTTAATGAGTTTAAATTATAATGAGGTGAAACTTTATGGTAGAGAGAGGAAGGTCCACGCTACAAAATGTGGTATTTTTGAACTAATTATCTCCTACGCTTAATTAACCAGCAATTGTACATTAAAACTCCGTGTATTTCAATAGAATGTCTCTATTTACCCCAGGCGTAGAAGTGAAGTGTCACACACTTTGATAGAGATCCGGCTCAAAACTGGTCAGAGATTTCAAAAGATTTTTACATAAGCATGTATGTGAATGTATGTGAAAAAATGTTCGGTCTACCACCCCGTTCAATAGCAAGTTTGTCTGATCAAAAACGGCCAAGAAATAGCAAAAACACAACGAAAATTTTAAAGAGTGTATCTAATTACCCCGAAGTACTCTATGCGTCATGAAACATTGAAAAAGCATTCTAAAATTGCTCTCGCATAAAGTACTCAAAAACGGCCTAAAACGGTCCGTTAACTGAGCATTAATGGCTAGTTAATGGCGAATTTCTTTTTGAATAATAAATGATTTGGAAACGTTCCGCAAACGGTCAGTAAACAGTGACCGTTTGTTCGAAAATATCCTCTTATTATGATAAAGCAAATAACTATTATTACTACTTGCAATACCCAAATTTGACAGAAAGTACATAATCTTATGTTTCGTTTGTGTGTTTACTTTTCGTTAGTGCTAAAAACTGCACATTTAGTACCAAGTAAATAAACTTTCCCGATTCAAAAATTGTACCGTAAACACTTGTGCACAAAGTTTCAGGTAAGTCTTAACTAATTGAAACATTTTCATTTGTGGATAAACGTGTATAGAAAAGAACTGCATGAAAAACTTACACGTAGATTAATATGAAGTGCTATAGTAATTCAAAGGCATACCTTTTATAATAAAATCCGTTCTAGACATTCTGAAGGGTGTTGTTGGGGATACCCCCCACCAAAATATTCCGGTGTAAAAGCAACTTGATTTTAAAAAAAAGACTTGGTTTTCCAGCGGTCAAGTTTTCTAGAAGCTCTATTATCAAGTTTTTGCCGTTTTAGTAAAGCTGGAACCAATCTGAATAATGTTTTGAATAGCCTGAAGATTTTTCTATCAGATGAAGTGTATATTGTCCCTTTCATGAGAAAAGTTGATAATAGAGCTTCTAAAAAACTTGACCGCTGGAAAACCAAGTCTTTTTTTTAAAATCAAGTTGCTTTTACACCGGAATATTTTGGTAACTTTCACGCCCTTTGTGGCTAGTCGTAAATCGACTGCACTTACGTGAAAAAAGCACTATAGAATGCCGGGAGATGTCTTATTTAGCTCAGAATTCTGCACTCTATCAGGCTATATGGTTTGTAACATTGATTTTCCAGCGATCAGGTTTTCTAGAAGCTCTATTATCAACTTTTCTCATGAAATGGGCGATATGCACCTCATCTGATAGAAAAATCTTCGGGCTATTCAAAACATTATTCAGATTGGTTCCAGCTTTTACTAAAAAGACAAAAACAACGGAGTTCTTGTGATTATGACACACTATAGTGCTTGGATAACACCCAAAAGCTTCTTTTCCAAATCTTTAATGACTGGCTCCACCTATCTGGATATTGTGACCAGCTCACTTTGTAGAGAATTTCAAGGGCTATCCAATGGTATGTTTTCGAACAATACATAATTTTTCTTTATGGCAGAAAGACGACTAACGGAGTGTCCAACGCACTAAGATGGCTGAAAAATCATTATACCGGTCAAGTCTTTCAACTATTAACCAATGTGGACATATTTTTGAAAGACTCATTTATACGTAGACTTCGACGTAGATTCTGAATCTATGATCAATTTTGAGCTGAGTATATTTATTGACTATAGTCAATAAATATTCTCTACATAAACGTTCTCTACGTAAACTGCGGACAACGATGTATTTTTCGCTAACCGCGATGAGCTGTGATTATTCAAAAATCGCACTTATCATGATAGAAAATGATATGTATCATGAGAGTAGTACGTCCTAAACTGAATCATAGACGCTACGACACATTATTTATTTTTGCGACATGAAGAGCTGTTTGCGACTAGGCATACAACGGTTACGGTTATTAACCGTTAACCGTAACCGTAAATAACCGCTTTATAACAACTTAGTGTATATTTGACTTTTAGTTCGTTAATATCGGTTTACATCAGAAGTAGGCAAGGATGGTCTTTGTCCTGACGTTACCGACGTTACTTTTACACATTCAGTATATTAGCGAAAAACTTCAGCAGGAATTTTGTGTTTTTATTTCCTTCAAATGTTTATGACTTTGCTGCAAAATCTTCGTTTATGCCCCCACTTTAGTTCGCAAGAATTAAAAGTGCATAACGCACTCAGACGCTCATGTACAGTCATTCAGCTAATGGTTGCATGCATTTCACACAGATTAAGGCCTGAACATATAAGCGCAAAAGACGTGTGAACCTCACTCAGAATAGCGTGTCATAATAAAAACAAGAAAATTTCGAAAGTAAGTACCTTCTGGGATAGTCGGGGCACAAAAATTCCGTAAAGCCTCATTTGTCAGCCGACAACCGCGGTTTTCGATAATTCATCGATTAACCGCGATCTCGACGAGTCATATATCGCAATATGACTCATCTGGCAGCGCAGTTAATCGATGACTCATCGCGATTTTGTTTTCGAAATCGCATGTCGTCGGCAAAGTAGATTAAATGCGCGGTTCCACGTGTTTTTTGCGAGAATCGCGATCACCCGTAACGCCTAGTTTCTCGCGGTTTTAAACTCAACCGCGATTCGCCGAATTTTTATGCGAAGAAGTATTCATCGGTAACACTCACTCACCTCTTGCTCAATGCTTTGTGGTTGTTTTACGATAACATTGATCACTTTAACTTGTGTTTTTTTTGCTGGGCTGCCGCTGGTTGCATTATCCAACTGTTGTTGTAGCTAAAAGAAGGAAGAGCTGATCATACTCTAACTCAATAAGGCTGCTTCTTACTATATTTTGCAACACTTCATATCTTGATTGTGGTACTTGCCCATTAACAATTAATGCCGTATTTGATAAGGGCAGATTATAAATTAGTTGAATAATATTACTTTCTCCTAAAAACAAAACAGAATTCTCTCGCACTTACTAAAAGTTATATGGTAAACTTACGTTCAGGGCCATTGATGCCGTGTCTTTCTAAATACACAGGTATTAGGGCGATCACAATTACGCCTGCAAGTATTAAACCGAGCAGGCCCAAACAACACAAAGCCAGTAATGTTAGGCCTCCAAGTCTAAACCATGAAATACATATGGATCTATGGATGGAAGAGAGGAAGAAGGAATATACTTCTTTGGTGAAGGTGAGAAGGCTTGATACTCCTGCGCTGTCTCCATTCAAAATTGTACTTTTCCGGAAATAAGTAAGATTATGTACTAATTTCTATAATAAAGGACATAAGCGAGTAACGTAGAAAATCGCCCCCTTCGAGAACAGTCGAAAATTTGCTGAAATGACAGTTCTCTTAAAATATCTGTTTGAAAATAGATTTCGTTTACAGTAACAGATTAGAAACTTTCACAACCGATCCCAATATCAGAAAAAATTTAGATTTTTCCCCCAAAAAAAAAAATGCGAGAGAATATATATTTCAAAACAGCACCACATTATTCTTGCACTGTATGCGGTTTATCCAAGAAAGATTTCAAATGTTTGGAAGGTTATAGCACAATCTAATCTTCTTTAAGTAAATAAAGATACGTATCTAATGTTTCTTCTATCTGTAGCAGATAGAAGATTAGAAATCACTCTCGCGAGTAAACAGATAATCTGTTTACTCCCGAGAGTGATTTCTAATTAAATAACGATAAAGAAAGTATTAGGGTTTTCACTCTTACAGAACTGGAATCTGGTTGAAACTTGGCGTTTTCCTAAAATTACTTGCGATTCGCTATGCAACAGAATGGAAAATTATTTTTTATTTCAGATGCATTCTCAATTCAGAATTTTCTCATTCATCCCATAGCTAAATATCTGACTAGTACAAGAAAAAGAGAGTATAGTTTCAACACTTACTCTCTTTTGGAAAAAGAGAAAAATATCATTGATTCATATAAGCTTTATTCTTTCAGAATACAAGCTGAAAAATATTCCACTATAGTATTCGCAACTGAAACTATCGAAAACCACGAAATCAAATTTCTCCGAATATACTGGTCTTTTGTATGTGTATTTACTCATTTATCTGATGGATATGGGCACCACCAACACCATCATCATAAGAAAAAAAGAAGGGAATACAGGTTCAAGGCTACTTACTTCAGTAAGCTGTAATGATCTTATTTTAATTTTGTTCACTGTCTCCGTATTTTTATTTATCTTTTGCTAAACGTTTCGATGTAATATAATAACCACCATCAGCAGCAGGTTGAAAAGAGGAAAAAACTATGTAAATCTAAAACATTTAAAGATAAACAGACACATTATACATTGAATTTCTGTTAAATAACAAAATATTCCCTTTTACAATATAATAAAATAAAAAGTATAAAAGATCTTTTCACAATCTTTACACAGTAAAAATAATATATACATATATATATATATGTCGGAGTTCAGATTAAAATCTGGTTGAGTTTAAAACTGAACTAGTTCAAATCGAAATTTTAATAAAAACGAGATGAAATCAAAATTTAAATATGAACTACTGTAGTTCGTTTGAAAAGCGGTTTCAAAATGAACTAGTACATTTCAGAATTTTGACTTCACCTAGGTCTAGTCAAAATTTAGATCTGAACTGACAAAGCAGACTAGGTGAATTTGAAACTAAACTGAATCAATAATGCATTTCAAAACGAATTAGTTGTGTTTCAAACTGAACTAGTCGGTATTAAAATCTTCAGCTCCTCCACGGTATTGTCGTGTAAAGTAGTACAATGTAATACCGAAATGGTAAAACATTGTATACTGTAGCAACACAAACTGGTATTATTATAGAAACTTTTGAACCAACTACTTTTCTTGATCTTACAACGGCCAATTTTCCTACACTAAGTGCCCTAAATACTGATTTATTGCTACTGATAACCTTTATACAAGCTTGTCAAATTTATACCAATTTTAAACCGGCAGCTACATGTAAATGTGCTGACGCCTGTAAAACGGTGCTCATGTAAAAAAATTATCATAAATGTTGTACAAAATGTCATGGATGAAAAGCAACAAAATGTGAAAACTGTTAAAAACATATATTTGCTCGTTTCTTGCTTTGTAAACTTCGCAGTTTTAAAAGAAAAGAGGCTGCTACAAGAAGAATATAAGTTAACTTTACTCAACGGTACTGCATTTTAATACCGTCTAGCTCAGTTTGAAACACAACTAATTCGTTTTGAAATGCATTATTGATCCAGTTGAGTTTCAAATCCGCCTAGTCTGCTTTGTCAGTTCAGATCTAAATTTGACTAGACCTAGGTGAAGTCAAAATTCTGAAATGTATTAGTTCATTTTGAAACCGCTTTTCAAACGAACTACAGTAGTTCATATTTAAATTTTGATTTCACCTCGTTTTTATTATCGATTTGAACTAGTTCAGTTTTAAACTCAACTAGATTTTAATCTAAACTCCGACATATCAATATTTATATGAAGAGGATTCTACTAAACAGGTAATTTTCGTCCGAAATTGTGTATTGGTTAGAAGAGTCCGGGTTGAAAAACTGGTACGTACCGTTTGTTCTCGTACAGAAAAAGAAAATGCTTTTTATAGTTATTCGCCTACATCTTACCATTCCAGCGGAATCTGATATTTAAAACTCTGTTGTTAGGCTATACAATAGAAAATGCTTCTAGTCAGTCATGCGCGACCCCCGTTTCAAGGCTCTCGTCAATTATATACAAAATCTTTTCTTTTTTTGTGCGAGAAGAAAAGATAGGTATCATCTTTTCGTCCTGGATTATTATAATTAATGCACTACATGATTTTCACTGCTTCGGTCGTATGATCACATTCACTAGACTAAACTACGCGCGGAGATGTCTGGCAAGTTCTGATGTTTCGATTAATTATTCATTAGGAAGCCTTTTCTGAATGTGCATGTGTGTATATCAGATGAAATTAGCTGTGAATGTCACAACAAATATATTTTTATTAGACATCATGCACGTAATCTCGAGATGAACAAACACTGCGTTCCAAGAGTGGTCCATTCTCTGTGGTTGGTGTTTTCTTTAATAATGCTTGCGTACAGTAAAGCGTAAACTCAGATAAGATAATGTTCGAACGTTCTATTCACTTGACATTAAGTTTAGTACAGATCATATAAAAGTAATGTTTGTATGTCCACACGAAGAAAACAAAAACCTAGTAGCTAGTGGGAGATACAGTACATAAAGCCCAGCGAGTTTTCAGAAAATAGTCATTTTTGAGCATACATTGCGTATAGATATTCTGACATCTCTGAAATATAAGTAATTCGAAGTGTACACCTATATACAACAACCCTAGTGACATAATCCATTTTTCGCCTATTTCAATCACAAATCACACCACACAAGTTCAAAACTGCAAAACATACGTTGTTTTATTTTAGTGTGTTACATACACATTTTACAATAGAAAATGCTTATAGTCAGTCATGCGCGACCTCTGTTTCAAGGCTCTCGTCAATTATATACAAAATCTTTTCTTTTTTTGTGCGAGAAGAAAAGATAGGTATCATTTTTTCGTCCTGGATTATTATAATTAATGCACTACTTTTAGGCCACTTACGAGCTGATCTGTTAATTTTATCTTGAGAGAATGGTTTATGTTTATTCTTTTTATGATGAGTGGCGCAATTTCTATATATCTATTTCTTTTATTCATCCATATCTATTTTTCTCTATTTTCTTTTGTGCTGATCTCATTAGTTTATATTGAGCGAATGGTTTATTCAAAAGCAAATAGAGAAACATATTATCCCTTGGATGACACTGACGAGGGAACCGTCCCAAGTGTTCCCTTCCGATTCCAGTTATTTGTACATGAATCGATAGACCTCAGTGAGGTAGTAAATACCCTAAAAGGATTCGTGCTCTTGGCTCCGGGAGATCCGGTTTTCTGGAAAACCAGTTTTTTAGAACCTCTAAAAAATGATCAAAACATTTTCATAGTAAGACCTAGTTGTAGTCCGCAAATTTCTGATTAAAGCGAGACATCTCCCAGCTCTACATGACCTTTCTTTGCAAAGTTATAGCCCTCGTAAGCAAAAAAACATGAACATATGTTGCTGTAGATGACTCCAGACACCTTCACTCCGCCTGAAGTACCCTGTGTGGGTTCCAGGAACAGTTTTCTGCTTTGCTGGCAGCCACAAATTTAGAAATGTTAAATTGAATCGATAAAGAAGCTTCACATCCATAGATAAACAATTAAAGTTTAAATCGTCAATTCAGCCTCATTGGCTCAAAACGAGAACAACGAGAACAACAAAGAGCGAGAAGAAAAGATGGGTATCATTTTTTCGTCCTGAATTATTATAATTAATGCACTACTTCTAGGTAACCTACGAGCTGATCTGTTAATTTTATCTTGAGAGAATGGTTTATTTTCTTTATGATGAGTGGCGCAATTTCTATATCTCTATTTCTTTTATTTATCCATTTCTATATTACCTGGTTGTAGTCCGCAAATTTCTGATTAAAGTGAGACATCTTCCAGCTCTACATGATCTTTCTTTGCAAAGTTATAGAATTTATAAGAAAAGCCCTAAATTTATTTCTTCTTATTTGTATAGCTTTGAGCTGACAATGATCATCTAGGGCTTTTCTTATAAATTCATCTTTTAGAGGTGCTGAAAAACTGGTTTTCCAGAAAACCGGATCTCCAAGAGTCAAGAACACGAATCCTTTTACGGTATTTACTATCTCACTGAGGTCTATCGATTCATGTACAAATAATTGGAATTGGAAAGGGACACCTGGGACGATTACCTCATAAGCGAAAAAACACGAATATCTGTTGCTGTAGAAGACTCCACACAGCCTCACTCCGCCTGAAGTACCCTGTGTGGATTCTATGAACAGTTTTATGCTTGTGCTGGCAGCCACAAAATTAGAAATGTTAAATTCAATCGATAAAGAAGCTTCACATCCATAGATAAACAATTAAAGTTTAAATGGTGAATTCAGCCTCATTGGCTCCAAACGATGTGGAAACACAACTGTAGTAATATCAAAAGAGAAGCTACTGAATTGTACAATGTATCCAACCGACACCTTGAGTACGTAGTGGGCTTTTCGACCATTCTGCAACTTCATTTATATGTTTCTTGCGTTGTAGAGATGATTCTGAACAGGTCAATTCACATGCACCATTCACGTACTAAGAAACCATGTTCAAAGTGCTGTGTTTATAATT